CGATATATTGTTTACCTTCATTCGATTATCGAATCAATTACAGTGGACGATGTAGAGAAATGAATAATCGCTATTATTATTGTTGATATGCTCACTAACCTAACATATGACGAAATTTCCCTGAAAATTGTTGAAAATCTTCCATTGAATGCCCTCTCTGTGTTGGTTGCGCATATCAATGTTTCATTCCAGTTCAGCACTTTCCCAGATTTTCTGAAAACTTCTGTTGTCATCCCTTTGCATAAGGGCGGAGACATATAGATAAACCATCTAACCTTGGGCCGATCTCTTTAATCCCAACTATTGCCAATATCATTGAAAAACTGGTAAAAAAAACGACTCGTCGAATTTTTGAATTCCCACAATGTTATCAGTGACAATCTGTTTGGTTTTCAAAAAAACAAAAACACGCACGATGCAATATTCTCATTTCTGTAGAAAGTTTATTCGGAAATGAATGCAGGTGAGATTTCCGCGGCGGTGTTTAGTGACATATCAAAAGCATTCGACTGTGTTGATCATGAAATACTGCTGAGAAAGCTTCATCAGTATGAATGCAAAGGAATGACATACAGATGGTTCGATTCATATTTATCAGGAAGAAATCAAGTGGTCAAAACGACAAAACTCTCCAAGAAGAGAAATATTGATCATGGTGTTCCACAGGGATCTGTGTTAGGACCTGTACTTTTTTTATTGTATATCAACGACCTCACGAAAATTGATATAACTGGAGAGTTCACTCTATTCGCAGATGATACTACTATATTATGGAACAGTAGGAATCCTCGAGATCTGCATCAAATGGTATCATCTGATTCGAAAAAGGTGAAAGATTGGTGTGACGCCAATATTTTGTCGTTCAATATATCTAAAACTAGTATAATATCATTCAGATCCTCCCTTGATGAACACACATTTGGTGATAATTTTATTGAAAGTAGAAATGATACTAAGTTTCTGGGATTGTTGATCGACAAAATGCAGTGAGAGTGATTTCTAGGGAATTAGGATTCTCTTATGCCAAAATGGTATATTATTCACTAATATAGATTCCCCATTACGATATAAAATACCTTTTTGGGAAGTGTGCAGCCCAACGTCTTTAAAAACTCTGTTAATTCTACAGAAACGAGCGATAAGGTATTTGTGTAATGTCAAACCTCGAGATTCTTGCAGAATTTTATTCTCCAATAATAAAATATTGACAGTGATTGCACTATTCATTCTGGAATCTGTTCGCCTGATAAATAAGCACAAGTTAAAATTCACTACAACTCCCATCCATCATAACACGCGTAACAGAAGTTTCAGTTTGAAACTTCCTCTACCCACAAGAGAGTTTATTAAAGATTCCATATACTATAATGGTGGAAAAATTTACAACCACTTGCCAGTTAATATTAGATCAGCAAGTCTTAATGACTGTCAATTCAGGAAGAAAGTCAAAAAGTTCCTCTCTGATAGACCCTATTACAGTTTGCAGGAATATTATAGTGATACGTTTGAGTTGTGATATTTAAGTATTTTAATGTGGTATTTATTTTGACTATATTTTGTCACATATTTTCATGTAGGTATATTTTAACCTCTTTTTACAATATTCTTCAGACAATAAAATATATATTATTATTATTATATTCCACGTCTTCTTCCTATACCATCAGGTATACTGGTGCGGTATTTGTTATAAGAGCACCTGGTCCATACACAAATATGTGACTCTGATGTGGTTGTAATTATATTGAAACTACAATTCGAACATCATTGAAACTTGAATAAACCTGATCTATTGATGCAGGTAGAATATTCTCACCTCACGGATTATTTGTTGCATTGCATACATATGGCACGGCATTGAAGGTCACTTCACATATTTATTTGAGTTAATTGTTTCGGTTGCAGAAAAAATAGCATGTTTCATTCGGATCAAAAGTGACTCTGGTTGACAAACAAAGTGTCACTTTTGATCTTAATAAAACAATCAACTATTTTGGGTGAAGATGAAGCCTCGGGCTATAATCTTGGTCCCTGGGGTAATACTGATATTCTTTACTATACCTGGGTTTATGAATGGATACTTCAATGTTATTTCATTTTTGCTAGCCATCATAAATATATCATATCAAGTTACATTACTTGTATATTGCTTGTATTAGTGCAGTTGTAGAAAAAGTGTAGTGTGCAACATGTGGGGAAAAGTACTTTCATCACTCGTGTGCTTGCGACACTCACCCTACAGGCTTGTGCCACAAACTTCCACAATGGAGAAAAAAGTTCAACTTTCCCCACTTGCTATACTATTTGCTACCGCTATTCGTGATAGCGAGTAGAATATTCAAACGTGCTGCGATTCAAACTGATCTGAGTTACTTGCAGAGCATCAATATTCCTGAGAATATTTGCCCTTATCGAAAAATAATATCCGATGGACCATTGACTCGATTCTCGATTATCTGGTTCATCGAATATTATCTTTCGACAGGGGCGAATTGGTATCGGATGGCATAATAATTCTTATCTCGTTATCAAATCTCGAAATTCAGTACAAATTATCGCACGGGAAAGTGCTTAATAATTTTACGATTCAACATGTACACAATATTTGGTTTGCTGTAATCTCAACTCGATGCTGATGTATCATGGGGTTTGGCAAAATTCAGCCATCAGCAATCATTAATCTGGCCTTTTGAAAAGATATTACCATATTTCATTCCAAAACAGGTAACATAACTTATGAGATCTCAATAAATATTTCTCCGATTAACTAATACACCTGATAATTTCAATTGAGATTTCCAATTTGAGTTATGCATCTAGATCGAACCGACTGCCTATTTGAAACATGGAAGAGGCGAGAATCGAAAGAATTAATTTAAATCTCGAAGTATATCTGTAATTGAAATCTCGATATTGTAGTGGTGACTATAAGAACTACGCCTCTGTATCAGCCCTGCCGAGTTTCGATAATGATGAGAATTCTCTCGGAGAAGGAAATGAGACGGATGCATTGAGAATGGTGCAAGAAACAGTTCTTCACAGGAGATATCATCGCGGAATCGAATTACTAGATATAATCGGTAGCTCCCACCTCCTAAATCAATCTATCCTCTAGTAGATGTGAAAATCATACGACACCTAGTGCTGCTTGAATCAGTATAACACCAGCTTAACACTGTACGAGATTAGCTAAATACAACTAAATAGCAGTTCATCTGGAGATACCTAAGCAGGGGGAAATTCTAGGAATGGTTCCTCACAATCATGTGGGCTTCTCGTACGATTTCAAATCCCTCTTCCCGAAGAGAGACGAGTGGGAAAAAGGATCAATGCAATTCCCAGAGAGCGAAAACATAATGTACACAGATGATAAAACCACTGCCGATATGTTCAGCAGAAAATCGAAGATTTGCAGTCAATTTCGGCAAGTATGTTACAATCTTTCGTAGGGAAGTATTTGCTATTTATTCATTTATTTATTTCTTACACTGTTCAACAGATTGCCCCATTTACAGAACAGGAAAAATGGACAAAACAAAAACATATGCATTGCATATTACATAAGCATAATGGATAGACGAAACAATATGATGAAATAAGAATATCCTGACTATCTAGTTATTCACTGATGGAGGAGAAATAATATAAAAAGTTTTGACATGAGTCATTCCACATCTGAACGGCTCAATTCACAATTCCTGGAAGATAATCTCGGGATAATAAAATTCAATTTTTTCAACAAATCTGCACTATCAATCAGATTGTTAATAACCTTATAAAGGATCAGGATAGAGAAGTATTGTCTTACGTGCAGGCTCACAAATTTGAAAGTTTCCAAAAGCTCTCCATGAGGTGTACCAATTGGAGGGTATGTACCGCATGATCTGTAACTTAACAGTTTTAAAAACGTCGTTGCAGACTTTGTATTTTGTATTTTGTATTAGTAACATTATAGGGATTCCCTTTCCCTTTCGTGCGCTCCAAGCGATAAAAAAAAGTAAGAATTGTTCCGAAAGTATGTGTTCCAAACAACCGATGCCTATTCAATCTTCGAACGTATCAATTTCTTAAGAGTATCTATCTCTTCAAAATCACGATTGTTGCGAACTATGAACCCGTATGCTCGAAATGTAGATTTCAGGATTGAGTCCATATGATCATTAAAACGATATGGATTGATCAAATATAACGCCAAGATCTTTGAAAGAAAAATGTCACCAATTGAGTAACTGAATACGATTGGGTCCGACTTCAATGTGAAGGACATGACATTACATTTGACAGGATTCAGTTCTAATCGGTTATTTTGAAACCATTCTACCATTCGACCCAGGTTGTCAGCAAGCTGTTGACAATCATCTCTGTGATTCACGCACCCATATAATTTCAGGTCGTCTGCAAATAGCAAAAAAAATTACTTCAATAACATAACCAATATCGTTGATGAAAATGTTGAAAAGTAGTGGCCCCAGATTGGAGCCTTGTGGTACGCCAGATGTCGCAAGATATTCGACAGACTTATGGCCGTTCAACTGGACATATTGTTCACCATTAGTGTGGTATGATTTGAATAGGTTAACTAGAGAGAGAGATAAGCCAAATGCTTTCGGTTTGTTAATTGAAATTCCGTGTTGAATTGTGTGCAAGAAAATGGACTTCTTGACTTAAGTGATCAAAATTATCAGTATTGTTTCAGACAGTCAGGGTGCTCTCAAAACACTGAGCGAGATAAATTCCAAGCTCTTATGTGATTGTATGGAATCCTTAGATCCTTGGTGCTAACAACAGAGTTACTTTGCTGAATTGGGCGTCCTCCGAATCCGAAGTGATTTTCAACACTACCTACATTTTTGGTATATCTCTCGCTCCAGCAAATTTCAGGATCCTTATCCAACAATTACGTAAGATGCAGGGGTGTTTCCATTAGAAGTGGTTCACACTGTATATCTGAGAATGACACAAATAGAGATAGGAAGTAACGATTAAAGTTGAGAGAATGTGCTGATTATACTCTATTGCAAATTAGTATCAAGAATATTGAAAATGAACGTAAATTATCCAAAAGTTAAAATATACTCCGGAGCCTTGCAAGAGAAAATACTTGTGTGATCATCATACGCATAGCTGTAAGCATCTGGGCAATGGTCTTTGAAGAACTTCGGATAATTGTTTTTCCAATCACTGCTTCTGCAAGTCCCAGGTGTACTGTAAGCATTCCTGCAACAGTATTCGTCGGTGTTAAAGCGGAAGCAAGCTGATTGACAACCTATGACGCCATATGGTGAATCCAACTTTAGTTCTTCCGGACACAAGTCATTGAGGTTGGGTTTACATGCAGATTTTCCGCAGCTGTACTGGCTGCCATCACCACTACCACCTGATGGTTCAACCTGAAAATAATTCAGATGTTATTCGAGTTACCAAACTCTGAATAGAATGCTTTGAGTGCATTCTACGTGCCAACATACTGATGTACTATAGAAGAAGGAGTGTTCGCAACTAGGAGTTATTCAGGATATTCGAGCACATAACATTGTGGAGAGATCTTTCGGAGATTCGCATCAATTGCTACTGTACCCCTTGGCGAATTCATTGCAATATCTTCGTTTTCATAGAGCATATGTGGAGTTCGTTTGAATAATTCATTAAATTGTTTTATCCATTTGGTTGCCTACGAGCAACTCTCAGGAGTCTTCAAGGGACTTGTGCAAGCAAGGAATGACGAGAGCCATACCTTTCAACGTATGATGCTAGACACTTTCTTGGGCCATCAGAAAAATGTTGTGCAGTCGTTTGGAATTGCACCCAAAACCGGCTGAAAGCAGTACCTACGAATTCATATCGACTCAAAGGGAGCATTCGCTGGTCATCAAAATATTCCATCAAAATCCGTCTCTATGAATGTTACAGAATAACGATGTTATTATTATTGCATGAACTATTTCACCAAGTGGGTGGAAGCGTATGCGATCCCTTACCAAGAGGTCGTTACTTTCACCGATGTCCAACTGCATCAACTCATCAATCCTTTTAATCAGGTCGATCAGGGCCGAAACTTTTAGAGTAAAGTGTCTAGAGAAACTAGGATTCAGGAATACTAGGACAACACCACCACATTCGCAACAGGATGGTATGGTGGGGCGCATGAACCGAATCAGGATGATATTTCTGTGAAAGTCGTGAATCAACAACACCGAGATGGAACCAACATCACCGAGATTGGAACCAACATCCATCTCTTTTTTTGATGGCCCAGAGATCTTCTGACCTCACGGTACAGACCCGAGCTGTTCTGACGAGAGGAGAGATGAGGCTTCCATGTGACAGAGATTTATAATATCTGCATGTGATTTGGTGTGGTTATATCAAGAACCTAAAGATGAAGATGGCCTTTGTTCACGAATTGGTCCCCATCTCAAAATCGCCAGTGATTGCATGAAAGACCTATTTCAACCAACATTTCAAGAGATTTATACCATGCAGAGAGGAAACATTTCTTGAAGAAGTCGAATATTACTCATTTCCGACAGAATATTTTACCTTCATGCCCTGAGTAACTAGAAAGTTATGGATCAGGTTGTAAAATGTATGATTAGGACCTTTTAATTTTCTATAAATAGTTATTTATTATACAAGGGGAAAAAGTAGTAGATTTTAGCTCCAGGTTGTGAGCTGAAATCTAATATTTTTCCCGTGTATAATACACTATTTTTGTCTGTGACATAAGAAAGGACGAATCAATATTGAGAAGATATTGCATTATTTTTAAATCTGAAAATCATCGACGTGAAATTTTAAGTTTTCAACAGTAGGGATACCTGCGTTGTAGGCATCATTATCATTCTTTTGAAGTAATCAAATATCTGATGTCACTTCTGTCAGTCTAATTCTGTGATTTGATTTAAAAAAATTGCGAATTCAGTGGTTGTTTAGTAATATACGTAACCGCGAAGTCGAATGAAAGTTAAAAGGACTTGCAGGCAAACAACAAATATTTGACAAATTATATAATTGTAGGAAACATCTAATAACATCATTTCATGAAGTTGACTACTACTCGTTGATATAGTCTGAAATCCCAATAGAAGGAAATTGGGCTCCATAGTCAGAAATAAACAATATTTTTGATATGAGCGAAGCCTATTCTCCCTGAAAGTTGAAAATTCATGAAAATTCGTATTTCAAGTCCAATATGAGACCGACGCCATATTTGTTGGCTCGAACCTTCTTCGCCATTGACGAAAAATGAGAAAAATGTTTAGAAAGCTTCCACATCCTGATGAATAGTAATACAGGAGATGTTAAGTATGACATATTTGATGTAAAAAAAATTGGAAGTAAAAAGAATATCATTTTTTCTAGGAACAAATGCATATCATCTATACCTCCTTATGTGCGGAAATTTACACTTGGTTTCGCGATTTATACCAATTGAATGGTCGATCTCAAAAACCAACCTGTGCCACCACTTGATCTGAGTCAAAACCAAGGCACACCGTTTTATTTGCTGTCATTATTCCGGACATACTTTCGTCATGTGATAATGATTTGAAACAAAAAACAAATGAAAGGGGATGATGTCCCCTTCTAGAATATCTTTTTTTCTAATGTCACCTTTGTACAAAATGTCTCATGATCCCAATATTCTTCACCATAAAGTACTCACTAATAGAAACGAAATCGGCAAATTTTTCGATTTCTTCCTGTACCCTGGAATGAATGAAGATATCAAGACTCAAATTGCGTCATTCAAGCTTTCTCTAAAATCGAACCCGTAACATGTAGTTATTTTGCCCACCCTGTGCACAGGGAATACTGTTTAATGCCGAAAAACTACCCATCGATATAGGCATTGCATTTATGGAATATCTAAACTGATAAAGATGAAACTAGTGGACAGTACAATGTTTGGGATCATACGTTAAAAGGTAAGGCCCCCGTCATTCCTTGCTCGCACAAGTATCTCGAAGACTTCTGAGGGTTGTTCGTAAGGGGGCAACCGAATGACGGATAGAAGAATTATAGAACAATTATAGAATTATTATAGAACAATTAAAGTACTTACACTCGCAGGTACGTTGAAACCATCCACCAAGGAAATATCGTAGTAGTCAAGCCCACCGGATCCTGTGAGCGTGATCTCTATATGAGTTGCTGGAGGTGTACTTCCATTACCTCCGCATTCAACTTTGTTACCACAGTCACCTGTTAAACAATGGGATGTGCTGTCATCACACCATGTTCTCGCCCAAAAACGACCAGCCCAATCATCTGGAGCTCGAACTGTTTTCTGTGGAGAAAATTATCATTCAAGTTGTAGAAATACGCTAATTTTTTGATTTGTAGGTACTGTAACACTCATTCAAAATAAGGCGGAAATAATCGTCAGGTCAGAATGACAGATCTAACCTCTATCTCTTTTGTAACAATGTCATCTGCCAATATTGTCAACCAAGCATTGATACACTTATATAAAACACACGATACGATGAGAGTTATTTTTTTCCACAACCTTATGAATACAACAACTTTCTACAGCTTCCAATCATATATATTCTCATGCATTCTATTTATCTTTCACATCTTCCTTGAAGAGTCCCAGGTAGCACATGGTGACTATATTACGTCTTAAAGACGGCTACACATTCGGCCAAAAGACGTCTTCTATACTATCCGAACTGACGTCTAAATGACGTAAGTAATTCACAGCTAAATGACTTCACTTTCTAGGTCTTTTGGACGTCCATTAGGTGTTCAATGACTGTACTGTGGCATAGCTGCTACAGTGACTCACACGATTCTAGAATACGAGAGGTGGAGAAATGAAGGAGAAATTCTGATGCAGAGCATAGCAATGAATTTAACGGAGGAAAACATAATGGACAACATGACCAGCGACCCTTGAAAATGAAAACAGATTCATTCGTTTATCCAAAACATTATAAGAAGTAAAGAAATGGAAGAGAGACAAAAATGCATTTTTTATAGGAGAAGATATAGACAACCTGCCTACTGAAGATATGCGAAAGCGGTTCCAGTAGCCATGGTGGAGAAAGGGAGGTTTTAGTGGGTAGGCTAGGCACCCTAGCCACACTGCCAGGAAACGGTATAGAACTAGTACCTGTGCGAGCATGAGCTTATTTCCATCCTGAAAAAACAGGTGTTCAATTATGACTTGAAACTGTTGTTGTTGACTTGCTCTGGACATCGTAGCGACGTCTTATCTTTGGAAAATATGCCCAAACTTCTCATTTTGAGGTTTGTTCTAATCATCTCTTGATTGAGGAACAATGTAATAAGAGGAAACTTAGTCTTCAAATGATATATTCAAACATTTCATAAATAACAATAATTATTCAGAGCTCTAATAGCCCACTCATATCCAGACCATTTGAAACAAATCAGTATTTCTATTTCCAAGAATATATTTGGAATTAACAAAGCTCACTTTATTTCACCAAAACACTCGATGTGATAACAAGAAATGTTCGATGATTTCATGAAGATATCGATGGGTTCACCGTCACACAAGACACGTTTATAGTTCCGACTGCCCTTCAAATGCAATGAACTAAATAATATAAACACCATTGAGTTCATTGTTCAAATGGCGGCCAAATCATTTCTACTGTCATAAGAAGAGTCAACCACTATTCCTGAACAACAGCCACTACTGTTGTTTCGACCTCTGTTTCGACTATCATCGATTTGGATAACAGAAAACATCACCAAAAATATCAAAAATCAGTGTATCAAAACAAAACACCAGAACATCATAATATTGAATGAGAAACCACCCCGTCAATCGAAGCACACAAAGTAACAACAAACAACATTTTATTAGAGAGGGCGCGATGGCCGACGCGGACGATGCATGCCGATGACCCGCCGTGTTGCCAGATTTCAAACACACATAGACAAACTAGAAAATATAAATGATATTGAAGGTTTCTACTTTCAAATAAATGTTGTTCTTCACTTCATTGGAGAAAATTCAATAAAATTATAATGTCTCATCGTGCTTCCGTGTGAAGCTTGTAAAAATTTTAGAGACGGTAACAGTGTAACGAAGTACAAATGTCAAGAGCCTGTACGAGATTAACAAGTGTTCGATGTCCAGATATTGACATCCGTAAAACGTCCGAAGGTTGCCGTCCATGTGATGGTGGAAAGACGACGTCCTTTTGACGTCATGATTTGGACGAAGTGACGAATGGGACCATAAATGACAAAAATTAGCGGTACTATAGACATCATTTTCGTCAGTATGGCTACCTGGCGTAAGGCTGATGCACAGAAATACCTAACTCTCTGTCTCCTTTATCAATTCATGTAGTAATGTTTTGAAAATTATTGACTCAAAGGCGTTGGACATGTATCTAACTGCCTGAGACAGAAATGATACTCAATCAGAGTAAGTGCATGTTCACACCATGTATCTTTTATTGACTAAGGTAATCAACTCTGGTTATACTTTATTATTATGAAATTGATCGATATATTGTTCTCAAAAATCATAAAACAGCTGAAATTTGAAACTTCCACTCTACTAATGTTAAGGCTATATACCTAAGCATCTTCTTGGTCATCATATACTATTTTATTGTGGTATGCAACATATCTTCGTACCAAACCAAGATGGTATCTTTATCATGCGTGCAGTTTAAAGTTTCTACCACGCACTGAACGAGAAAAGTCAGTTAGAATATAGTAATTGTCAGCTATAACACGGACCTTCTTCTTGAAATCAGGATGGGTATAATATTAGAAAAAATTATAATGATCACATCAATTCAATACTGACATTCCATTATGTATTAAGCTTGATGTGAATACGAAATAATCAAAATTGAGATATATCTTGTTACCGATTCTCCTCCATCAAGTTTGAATCCTCCATTGTTTAGAGCTTGTTTTCCAGAACCTGCTTGAATTCCAACCCAGATAGCACCTCCTTCTCTGTTCACTATCTCAAAATCTTTTGCTTGAACAGCTCCTACCAGAATTGCTATTATTAATGATGGCCTGAACATTTTGAATCTGAATTGATTTTTCGTCTTAAAGTAGTGGTCTTGAATTCTATTGTCCACTGAAAGAAACAATCTTGTATAAATCAGGTTGAAAACGTGAATGTCCTTCTATAATACTTTTACTATGTGATTTTCCTGATTATATTATGTAATTTCGCAATGTAAATACCTTTCGGCAACGATATACTATTTCTTAATCCCTTTAGAGGTTATTCCGGCTGTAAATATATGAAGGACCACGCGCACTGAATCGACTCGGATCGGTCGACTCGACTCGGTCGGCACGTTTTGCTATGAATCGCCGCGCACTGAATCGGTACGGTCGGCTTAGGCCGGTCAGATCGTCTCGGCATCGGCAGAGAATGATAGATGGGGCAAAAACTGCCGATTGCTCTCAATGCTTCTACGGTTTTTGAGCCAAAGAAGTGTATGAACGAAGCTGCAAATTCAAAGTTATGGCGGATATATCATATTGTATGATCCCTAAAATAGGTACCACCACGACAACATTTGCATAGGTTTCCTATTTTGAGATTGGTTTATGGATCAGAACCTTGGTTTCCGTTTTTTTATTTCTTCACATGCTAAGGCAATCAAAATATATTTCTAAGATTCAGATGAACCAATTTTCACTTGTGTTGAAATTGGTTTGTACCATAGACAAACTTTCATGTATGTATGTATTTAACGAGACGGCTGCTGAAGACATACCAAATGTGCCGATTCAGTGCGCGGTATAAAAGGAGGACGCGCACTGATTCGACTCGGATCGGTCGACTCGGCTCGGCAGCTTATACCGCGCACTGATTCGGCACATTTGGTATGATTTTCACTGACTACTTTTCGAGCGAACGAACGCGAGCTAGCGAAGAACACTATCGTCTAGTCATAGCACCAATACGAAGAAATAATTCCGTCATTGACTATCGATTCATTTTCTCTTTCGGTTTTCTATAGGTTTAGATGATGATAATGGCGAATTTGTTGTCTCCGAAGACTCACAAGGAGAGAACCATCCCATAACTATTAGTAGTTGACTCAAAAAAATATGAAGAGATGTACCTATAAAAGATGAGTGACTGCGCTATACTTGATAGAGAAGGAAAATGCGTCATGCATCAAGAAGCATTATTAGTGAAAGAACAGCTAGATATAGGTACCGAAAATTATCATAATTCCGAATTTTATGTCCTGAAACTCATCTCATCAGCTCAGGGCAGGGCAGTCTCCAGCCAGCAGTCCTAAGACTTCCCTTGATTCGAGATATTTTGCGAAATGATGATAAAATTTGAATACAATGCGAAATATATTTATGAATAAAAAAATTGCTCGAATGTATTTTAGGAAGAATAATACACAACCACAGTGTAAGGACAATATGGTTTGAAAAAGAAACGACGCTGTGTTAAGAAAACTCGAAAATTATCTGTCGGTAGTGACAGGTGACAGTTGTTGTCAAAGTATATAGGTCACATGCACGATGACCGACCGTGGAGGTAAAATATTGAAACACAGCCTCACTCTTCTGTGAATTATTGAAACACAACCTCACTTTTTTCATTTGTTCACAGATGAATCAAAGGATTGAATTAGTTTTTCATAATATTTTGGCATACGAATCGTGCTTTTTGATTCATTAATTCAAGCACGCCTTCGCATTGTGCTGTTGTACAATGCACAACAAATGCAGCAAGAGAGGAAGGAATATGATTTCTCAGGTAGATAGTATAATCTCACATACTTTTCATTATGAAATGTTGTCATTCCTTATTAAAACTCCTTCTGCCACTTCTGCAATACAAGCTAATACTGCTAATAGATTGAAAATGTCTACAACACACACGATCATATTTCGTCAGCATGTCAGACCAGTCCTCCCGTTTGATTGCATGAATCCAATCTTCTTGCATTGTTTTAGAGTATTTCTATTAGCTCCTATTGAAGGAATTCCGATCAGAAATCAGAGAATCACCAAATTCCAAAAATGAAAACTATATGTGAGTGACTATAATAGGTACTTACTCTTAAATCATAATGTACCAACCGGATTCCTTCGTCTTCCGCTGCAGTTTTTGTGCATTGTACAACAGCACAATGTGATGGCATGAGCGAATTAATTAATAGCCGAAAAATACGATTCGTATGCCAAAATAATTGTGAAAAACTATTTCAATCACTTGTAAACATATAAGAAAAGTGAGGTTGTGTTTCAATGTTGTGCCTCTAGGGTCGGTCATCTGACAGTTCTTGCATGCAACCCATAGAAGTGTGTTGATTGAAAGCAAGGTATACATATTTATTGGTTATTGGATCCTAGTTATTGGGAAAGCAAGGTAGCTTTTTATCACTATAGAAATACATGGTGATTGGTCGGTTTCAGGAAGAAATTTCATTGGTTCTCAGAATAGGCGTGTATTAATCGAAGCAAATAATTCCAATAATTGACATAATCAATAGGAATCCGTGAACATATAAGAAGAGCTTTATATTTTGGATACTCACTTTTCTGATGTTCTAGCTGTCAAATCCTTCAAAACAGTTTTTTATACTATACACTGTTATCTCGAAACAAAATACTGTCGAACAAAGCATGCTTCGCTCGTGACGAATCATTAGGAATTATGTTTAAATTGGAATTTGACGCACTTTCATGGTTTCGTGAGAAAAAAGCCATTTCGTCTGTTAATTGTTTTCTTTTCTCACCGGATGTCGACGACGTACCGCTAATTTAAGCCACTTTATATTTTTTCAGGCCTTGCTCAGTCAGTGGTGTAGGTTGTTAGCCCACTTATTAGTAGGTTTAATATCAAAGTTCAGTTATCAATGTTTTATGTTGATTCTACTCTCGCTTTTGAGAATCAGAATCGCTTGTTTACGAAAAATTATCCCAACACGTGACCCCAACCTCATTTCACAGCGGTAATTATAAAATGAGAATTACATTTTGAGGGCACGAATTTTCTCTGTTTCGTTAAAAACTTCACAAACGATAAGACTTCCACAAAAGTTCTGCTAACTCAAGCACATCAGTACACTGAGAAAAAATCCATTAAACATACACTCAGTTCCAAAAAAAGTGACGCACTTGATATTTCACCTATCTTCTTAAAAAAATAAAATAGTAGGCCGACTTTTATTTTTTTTATTGGATGGTAGGTAATGCATTTGTATTTAAAAATGAATAAAGAGGTGAAAATTTTTTCAAAGCCTCCTTGATGGTGGTGGAATAACTCGAACCGTGATTTATTCTTAATTTTTGACTCACTCTGTGTGTTAATTGAGTAATGGCAAAGAAAGTGCTTACACCCTTTTGTTTTTTTACCAATTGATTCATCTCTGAAATTTTCCGGATCACAGCTTTTTTTGCTAAATCCTTGCAGATTACCAACTTTCTGAATTTATCGAGAAACAGTTTTCTAATGAAATAAACTGATACCAATAATTTTAAAAAAACATTTTTACTAAACACAAAATTATAAATTGGGATGACTGCTTGATACCGTGTATTGCCTCCTCTAGCAACTCTAAGAACTTCTAATCTACGAGGCATACTGGAAATTAAGTTGCTTATCGTTTCCATTGGTATACGATCCCATTCTTCCACTAATGCATCTGTCATTTCTGCGATACTTTTCGGAGGCCTCTCGTGAGATCGTGAGAACGTAGCCTTCTCCTTAGTTCATCCCACAAATGTTCTATAGGATTCATATCGGGGCTTCTCGCAGGCCATTGTAATGTGGTAATACCAGTAGCTTCTAAGAAGTTTCGCACTATTGCTGCGGTGTGTGGTCGGGAATTATGCTGCATCAATATAAAATTATTGCCCACTAACTCTGCATAAGGTAATACATACTGCTCTAAAATGCCAATGTAACTTTGGGCATTCATCGACTGCCTCACCGGAAAAACATGAAGGGGTGCCTTTTCATTCATTGAAATCCTTCCCCACACCATAACGGACCCACCATTAAAACTTTCGCATTCTGTTATTAAATTTTAATTAAACCGTTCACCAGTTCTTCTCCACACTCTTTTTCTTCCATCCACCATGTTAAGGCAAAACCTTGACTCATCCGTTAAAAAGACATTCGACCATTCAGGAATATTCCACTGTCCATAATTTTTCAACAAAATTTCTTATAGCAGCACGATTTCGGGCAATAATTTGGGACCTTTTGCAGGTCTCCTAGCTTTTAAATTAACTTCTTTTAGACGTCTACATACCGTCTGCTTACTTACTGCAACATCACGAAGATCTTGCTGAACATTTACCGCAGTATTTGATCGATTCCGTAAAATCCGCAATCTCAAGAAGCGATCATCTCTTGGAGAAGTTTTTTGGGGGCGACCAGAACCGACCCTCCGAGCGGTCGTGCTTCCTGTTTGTTCGCACTTGCGGATTGCTCTACGAGCAGTTGCTTCATGAACTCCCACTGCACGAGCGCCGTAACGTTTACTACGCCCATCGTTTACTAACGCTACTAATCTTGCTACTTGTTCAGGATTCATTTGAGGCATTTTATGTAACTTTAGTCAATAAAACAAGACACTTAATTCATGACACAACGACAAATGGCCAAATATGGAGGCATACAACAAATTAGTTGGTATGGCAACGGCATTTGTTTTTTTCAAGACAATGTGATCCTACCAGAGTACAACCCAATCAATTTTGATGAGTACTGTGATCCTTCAATAAATTTAATTTGTGGGATAAGTGTAAGGTACCAGCCAAAAAGCTGTAATTCGGAAAATTTTAGAGATAAATCAATGAATAAAAAAACAAAATGCTCGCAAAAAAAGCCTCTTTCCTATAGTGTGTAAGCACTTTGTATACCATTACTCAATTTTCACACAGGGTGAGTAAAAAATTAAGGATAAATCATGGTTCGAGTTATTCCACCATCATCAAAAAGTTTTCACCTCTTTATTTTTTTTTCAAGACAAATGCATTACCTACCAACAAATAAAAAAAAATCGGCCTACTATTCTATGTTTTTTTGTTTAAGAAGATGGGTCAAATATCAAGTGCGTCACTTTTTTTGGAACTGAGTGTAGTTAGATATCGAATTATCCCAGCAAGAAACACTAATATAGCATAGAGGACAAGCGACTAACTTTTCTTCAAGTGACCTTAAAAGGATATGAAAAAATACCGCCTAGGTAGAATATTTCCTCCGGATCAGATATACCTGCCAACTCATACTACATGAAGGAAATTTTTAGGTAAGTAATATTGAATATGATCTCATTACATGTGAACTCTCTCATAATCTCCAGGATGGAGCACCTCCACATTACTCAATACAAGTGAGAGAATGATACCTAGACAAACAATTCTCTAATCGCTGGATAGGTCGTGGCGGCCCTCATTCTTGGCCCATAGGCCCCTAATCTCACAGTAATAAACTATCATCTATGGGGACATATGAAACGATTGGTCTATCAGACTGAAGTCAACACCATAGATGAACTGAGGGAGAGGATTGTTACAGCTTCAGATATGATAAGAAATAATAGGAAAATTATTCGAAAAACCATAAGAGATCTTCCGAAGATATGCAGAAAATGTATAGAAAATGGAGGAGGACATTTTGAGAATCTTTGTTGAAGAATATTGGGATATAGACAATTTTTTTTGGAAAATTGGAATGTTTTGTAATTCTAAATTATATATTTTCTCAACTCGGCTGCTATATTAATATGCAAAAAAACTAATTCGAATACTTTTAGTCGAATGTAGAGAGTAATGACGAAATCGAAGAAATATCCGTCTGAATTTTGTTTATATTTTTTCACCAATTCGGTCGAAGTGTGCCGTATAATTGAAAAGCTACACTTGTAGTGTTTTTCCTGATTTATCTGATTCTGATGAAACTTTTTGAAAAATACGATTCAGAAAGTCGAAATTCCCAGCATCGTGTGGTGTGTCTGTTGAGGTAAATTGCTGGCGAATTCCAGACGGAAACATCGAGACCTGCCGGAAATATAGTTCTTAAAAGTTTCGCTCCGAATTCAAATAATGCTCTAAAGCCTCATTTTTTTCGTACTTTTGGCACCCTGGAGGATGCAATTTAGGAACATTTCACCTTGAAAGGAGGTCAGGAATCCGTACACGAAGTTTGTCAATCTCGTTCTGTGTATCGCTAGATCATTGGTGGTTGCAAATATTACCTACTGAGGAAAAAATTCAAATGAGCTCATTATGGAGTTCTATAGTTGATAGATAGGTAAAGTGAAAGAATTCTCGCGTTTGTTGATTTTTTATAATGAAGTAAGTTCTTCATCATTCTTTACAAATGAAATTTCAAAATTTTCAGAGTTTGTAATAAGCGTACACTTAAGTTTTTTTCTTTCTGAAAAACTCATCTGATGTTCGTGTATGTGGTGGTTAAACATTCTACCTCTATGACCTATATATATACTTTAGGACAAGTTTCATCATTCATTATTCAAATTCAGAAGTCTCGTTTTTTTATCCTTCGAACCTTCCCAACGTGTAATTTGTTCTATTAAAGCAACTCTCGAGTCTTTTTTATGTAGAAATGATTTTAATTTTCTATATGAGGTTCAGAAAGTTTTATGTATGAATAATAAGTAATGTTTTTCGTAAATTTTGCCATTGTGAAATCAGAGAATTCATTTGAATTTTCTGTTTCAATTGCTCCAGAAAAATTCATCACACTAGTTTATTCCATCTCTAAGCTGTTTCGCCCACGAAACATTAATTGTTATGAAATTCCAACGAAAGTATATAGGCACCGAAAACGTTATAGATACCTTGAATCTACTCGCAATTATCCACTAATTAGTTGCGTTTGAAATAAGTGTGAATATTCATGTCAGTTTCGCAACTAATGAGGTAAATTAGGAGCTTTGTTCACGATGGTGATTAGTGATAATCGTTACAATTAATTTTTTTTTTATCGCTTGGAGCGCACGAAAGGAAATCCCTATAATGTTCAAAGAACATCGTGCGTTCCTAGGGAGGATAGGGACAGGAGGTAGATATTGGAATTTTTTTGAACTTCTGGAGATTATATGTTGTTGGGAATACTTCCTCAGGCAATGAATTCCAGAGCCTAGCCGTTCTATGAATGAATGAGTTTTGATAAAGTGCTGTTCGACATCTTTCGAGGTTGACTACGAAAGGACGTGCTGACTGGGCTTGTCCAGTTCGTCTGCCTGGTGTTGCTAGTGAAAGGATGATAGCAGAGATTTCCAAAGAACATTTTCCGTGGAAGTATCGATAGAAAAGTGAAAGGTGTCCCAATAATGTAAAAGAGTGAGTGAGTGTGGCGTTACCCACCAGGCGAATGGCTCTTGTCTGGATGGTGTAAAGTAGCTTTTCGCACGGAACAAGAATCCGAGTTTTTGTGAAGCAGAATTTACGATGGATCTGACATGATTATCCCATGAAAGAGTGTCGCTGATGGAAATACCGAGCATAGATATGGTGGGCTTGGTAGAAAATATTATACATGATTATACCTAGGGTCTCTTGGTTTTTTTTGCAATTTCAGAATATCTGCAGTGTTTTTTTGAACCAGTCATCAGTTGATTTGCTCAAGTATTCCAATTACAGTACGGTTCCTCATTTACAAAAAATTCTTTCATTTTTGAAGCAATGTGTACTTATACTCACCATAATATTTGTATAGAATGTACAATTCGGAATAATTATGATAATTATTGGTATCTAGCTGTTTTTCCGAAAACGATACTTCTATATGCATTTTCTATCAGAATTTGTAATCGAGTATACTGCAGTCACTTGGCTTTTGTAGGTGCATCTCTTTATATTTTCCTTTTTTTAGTCAACAACGAATATTGGGATGTAAGTCTTCTTCTTGAGTCTATACCGAGCAAACAAATTCGCCATTTTCATCTTCTGAACCTATAGAAACCTGAAAGAGAAGTAAGTAAGGACATATTTAGAGAAATGAATATATCCTCGATTAACGCAACTTTAGTTTTCTGATTTTTGGTTGACCTAAACCGTTACCACCGGGGTGAATTGCATATACCCACATTTTCGATAGCTCCTCGTCCAACGGGAAACTAAAAGCATGAACTTTTGAACCACGCACATAATTCCCCCGACTAAAGGGAACACAACACTTGAAAGGCATTGTTATTTCGCCGATCACAACACAAAATATTTCACAAAACAGTAATTTTTCCGCCAATTATTTTGATGAATAAACAACAAAAGGATTCGGGACCGTTTCAAAAGCATACGTGAACCACCGATGAATTAACACGAACTGACGCGTTAGTCGACAAGCGATAAAATAAAACAATGGCCTCTCTTGGTGACGTCACGAGCTGTTTACGTCAGAGTCTGCTGGCCTTGTTGTATCGGTGGTAACGCCTAAACACATCTTGATGTAGACCTTACAACGATGGAACTTCATATGTGAGTATTCGATTGGTATCTTGATTGAAAGACCACTCAAATTTCAATGCGGAGTCTATATCGAGCAAACAAATTCGCCATTTTCATCTTCTGAACCAATAGAAACCTGAAAGAGAAGTAAGTAAGGACATATTTAGAGAAATGGATTTATCTTCGATTGTCGCAACTTAAGTTTTATTGATTTTTGGTTGACCTAAACACATCTTAATGTAGACCTTACAACGATGGAACTTCATTATGTGAGTATTCGATTGGTATCTTGATTGAAAGACCACTCAAATTTCAATGCGGAGTGGGGGCAAATAGGGTTTACTGTATAATTTCCTATATATTCTCGGTTTACAGGACAAATGGTATTGGTTCTGGAATAATTATACTACATATCGTTAAAACACACTGTAGGTGCAATCATGTCCAAACTTTGATTAATTGAGGTGTTCAAGCTATCCACGCTTTATCTTCAGATTTGCAAGTCGTGCGCTCCAAGCGATAAAAAAAAGAAATATTTCAAATTTGCTTATCGCTAATAATATGTCACTGCATGAGTTTGATATGAATATATATATTGAAATAAATGGAAATATTCACACAGTATCTGATAATATCCACATCAATAACTAGAGAAAAAAATATGCATAGTATCTATGAGATTCCAAATGTATTGCAGAAAAACTTAACAATGTACTGTTATATAAATTTCACAATACAGAGTGATTCAGTTTTTCAGGACCAAAATGCCGCGATGTTTCTTTGCCTATTTCAAGTCTTACAGTTCAAAAACCAATTAAAATTAAATAAACTTGTGACTTTTCACCAACGATACCCAACCATATCATTGAACGTACGGCAACATTGCCAAAGTCATTGATACCTCCCGTGCTGTTGATCACCTAGCCGAAAGCATACGATCTGATTCGACTGCATACTTTTTAATGAGTATATGCAAAAGTGGATATGTCAGACACACTTTTAAATTCAATATCACCAGCGTAGATAAGGGGGGTACTGTCCCCCAGTACCCCCCCCTGAAAGCACTAAAATAGTAAAACAGTAAAAGACTTAGAAACAATAATTACTAATGAATTCAAAATGTTATATATCAACAGGTTGATGCCTGATTATGTTCTATACCAGTGATTGAAAGATTCTAGTAAAACAAGTGGGTACGTAGTTTTTAAAAGGTATCAGATTAGTATAGATGTAGTTTTCATAAGGTATTAGTTTATTTAGAGTTCAGATAATCTATACGACGCTATAAAAGCAGATTATATTTTATCATTGCTCATGTAAGATGGAAGTAGAGGCCATGGCACCATATCATGAGTATATTTTTATATTGAAACTATCATTGTGCACCAAGGATGTGTATACGACGCTATGGAAGTTCGGAGAACTGGAGATTTTTCCCACTATTTTATCATTGCTCATGTAAGATGGAAGTAGAGGCCATGGCACCATATCATGAGTATATTTTTATATTGAAACTATCATTGTGCACCAAGGATGTGTATACGACGCTATGGAAGTTCGGAGAACTGGAGATTTTTCCCACAAACTACGTACTTAGCCCACTCGACTGTCTTGGTTTTTCCACACACTGCTTTTTTTACTTTCTTCTGTTTTTTGTTTCGTTTTCTATTGGCAAGTGATTATCTAGGAACTTGTAAATTTTCTAGTTTTTCCATCGTATCTCCCGAACTATTGTATTCAGAGAAAAATGTTATGAGGATTTTTTGTAGATTCTATCAAAAGGAATAATTTTGGTTCCATAACATCCTCAGATATTTCCAGTTGTTTTCGAGATATTTGGAATCATCTGAGAATAAAATTTTCAACACTTTTGTTCCATCTTCCAATCAACAAAATTAAAAAATATTTCATGGTTCAGTGGAAGTCGATGAGCTTCATCTATCGATAATCTTTGTTTTTCAATATGTCTTCATAGTACCCTATGGGTCGTTGATTTTTTTTTTTATATTTTTCACTTTATTTCCTGTACTATTGGGTTTACAGAAAAAATTATGGAAAATAATTTGTAGGAAATGTTCCAGTGGATAACTTTTCACCCATGATAATTTTCGATTTTTTCATTTGTTTTCGATATATATTGAATCGAAAGGATTTCAAATTTTGATGTTTTGATTTTCATTTGTTTCACCATTTTCCGATAGATGCACGAAAAAATGGTTGATTAATAATTTGTTGCGTCATCAAAGAGGCATACGGTGCATTTTTCAAATTTGGATTTAGTCTATTGGTTCAGGAGATATGTCGTTTTAAAGTGAACCGTGTTTTTCGGAAAATCTCCTTGAAAAACCCACTTGGAATTTCCCGACCCTGCACAATTTCGATAGGCTTCGTCTCTCCCTGATAGAGGTTTTTTCACAAAAAATGAAATCGATCGGACCACTTTTGCGATTTGTAGAGTGGTTACAAGGAACTTCCGGTGAAAAATCGAAAAAACCCGGAAAAACCACCTTAGAGTTTTCCGATTTTCTTCATATTTTAATGACATAATATAGTTTTGGGTACAATAAGATGGCAAAATTTCAAGTCGATATGTCAAAGGGTTCCGGAGAGATATCGATTTATGATTAACACAGAGTACAGACAGACAGACAGACAGACAGACAGACAGACAGACAGACAGACAGACAGACAGACAGACAGACCACACACAAAAACCAAAGTTGCTCAAAATTCGATGGGGATCATTTTCTCCAAAGTAACTATAGCTCTATCTCGCTTAGTTTCCGAGATAGCATTTTTGGCAAGGCCGTAGTATACTCCACTATGTATAGCGTCGTATACAAGTTTCTGAATATGTTGAATGAATTCTCTCCCAAACATTTTAGTCAGATTTGTTGCAATCATAAATAGATCTTTGGAAAAATGAATGGGAAGAAATCAAAAATGAACCTATAATAATTTACCCAAAGATACAGCCTCGAAATCATGTACAATGGGTCAGGCAAGTCGGATTAACTTTATACTAAATATTCATAGATATATATTGAAATATACATAGATGCTGTTATCGATAGGTTTTCCTCGAGGTTTTCAAAGCAATGAGAAAGACTTTGTTTTATAATCTAGTCACGGGGGTACCTGATATTTTGTTAATTAGATTCAATCAAGAGTTTTGAATGATAAGTTACCTACTTTATATTATCTAATGGTGAAATTGAGAGATTATTTCTTCTTTTTTTTTTCATCTAGTTCATATAATACGCATATAAAATATGTTTTCATCGAGAATATTTATCTTGATTTGTTCATTTGAATGACTGATAATTGTTATTTTTGGTAATTTTGAATATTCTAAGATATAAAACAGCTTTAATAAAAGTTTAAGCTAATAAACCACCATTTTGTGTTGATTTATCATACATTGAAACTCGTTGTAGTACTAGGCAACCCCCAAATTATATTTCCGCTACTGGTTTAACATACCTACGTGCCTGTTCAATATTATACAAAATATTTTCGTTGCTTATATTTTGGAAACACCTGGTATAGCTTCTTGACATTTTTCATTTGAATACCCCTCACTGTTATCACATTTCTAGTGGAAAACTAGAAAAATATTATCATACTGACTTAAGTAGATACTATATATATAAAATACATAACATGTAATTTTGATAACAATAAGTTATGCGCAATACGATAGTCTAGACCACTACTATATATAAGACGAAAAAACGATCCAAATTTGAAAGTGAAAGATGTTGCGGTCATCAGTTACATTAGCCATTCTGGTAGTAGCTGTTCAAGCAACAGATTTTGAGATAGTGAACAGAGAAGGTGGAGCCATCTGGGTTGGAACTCAAGGAAATTCCGGAAAACAACCTCTAAAAAATGGGGGATTCAAACTTAATGCAGGACAATCGGTAACAAGCTATACCTATCACTCAATTTTCATCATTCGGGATTCACATCAAGCTCAAGACATGCAATTTCTGTATTGAAATAATCTAATCACTATATTTTTTCCTAATATTACCTATAGAAAATTACTTGCTATTTGAATATCACTGACCAACTCCATCAGTGATTTCTCAGCTTATTTTAAGAAAAAATGCTTGGTTACCAAACGAAGGAGTGAGAACCACCAAATGATTGTTTGGAGATAATGAAAGTTGAAATTCGGTTGATTTTGTAAATGTTTACCAACCATTGAGTGAATTATAATGGATTCAGAATTATTATTTTAGAGGTAGCAAGATAATTTGAAAATTTGGAAAACTTGATATTTTTTCCACCCAAAGACTTACTATATGGCTCTTTTGCTTCTGATCAATTTGAGATTCCATGTTATAAAAGTTGAGAAATGTATTATTGTACAGTAAGATGCAAGCCGTTGGATATTGTTATAGAGTCAAAGTTTCAGTGTGCTATTTTGGTCTTTTCTTTTTCTTTGAATTTTTTGCTTCATATAAATTAAATTTCTGAAGAAATACTCTTATACAGGAGGAATAGTGGATTCTAGCAGTTTGGAAAGAGTAAATTGTTTAACGAGCACGGAATGATAGCGATTTCCCACGAGAATGAAGTTTGCAGCCGTAGTCGAATGATTGCAGCATTCGCTTGCGAGTTATACAGTATAATTTTTCTACGGCTGTAACATACAGGGTGTCCGGAGATAAAACCGACAAGACTTGTGGGGTTATAGGGACTGTCAATATGATTGCAAAATGACATAAAACAATGTCCAAAACCGCTTCGTTATTGACATACAGAGTGATTTGTGGATTTTGACAAAAAATTCAATCCGCCATATCAAATACAGGGATTAACCGATTAGATTCAAATTTGGTACACGAATTACACTGAAAAGCATCAACAAGTAGCCCTTTGACCGAAACCAATATCAGGACCGGAATGATATATTCCCCTATGTTGAGTTATTGTGAGAATGACTCACCCTGTATAATAATAACAAAACATTTCAACTCAGATTCGGCATCTACGATAAAAATTGTATAGGAATTTTTTGAAAAATCTCTTGGCACTATCTTAGTTATTCCTTAATTGATTATTATTTAAATTTTTTTTTTCAAAATTCAATTATTTTCGGATAAAGTACTATCAAAATTGGTAATATAATAATTATTAACGAAACCATGAGATGAATATCGTTATTTTTTTCAATCAGTCCGGAAATCGTAGTAAAATAGAATACTCTCATCACCCGAAAAAACTGAAAAATAAATTCGTATCAGGACTGGAATGCGGTTTTCTATGATTATATTCCTGTAAGAATAGATGATCTAGTATAACAATGATCTGATCGCAAATTCGAAATGCACTGAAAAAAGTTTAAAAAAATGATCGGATTGAACTTTCAAATAATAAATCCGTATCAGTACCTTATAATGTTTGTGTATAAAGAATACTAGGCTTGTGTCAAATTCAGAATTTCATTATGGAAAACCATTGTTCAGCTGTCATCAGCGTTTGTTTTATTGGTGTTCATTCATTATTCCAGTGTTTTTAGGATCAAACTATAGTTCTGAGAGTGTGCTTATGATGCCGTTCCATTTTACTTATGAGGAATAAGCTGATATTCTATTTGTGTCAGGGCTTCAACTGGTGATGTTTACCTAAATTTCCTGGTCAATACTTGACCGGATCTATTGCAAGGTGTAAATACCTGAGGTTTCAGCATGATGGTGCTAGACCTCACTTTTCAGTTCCAGTTAGAAACCATCTCGATGCCAATTACCCCAATAGATGGATTGGCCGTGGAGGTTCAGTAAATTGGCCACCGCTATCCCCTGATCTAACTCAGCTAGATTATTTTCATGAGGTCATTTGAAGTAAGAAGTTCATAATGAAGAAATTTTTAATGGGAAATTACTGCTGCATGTGCTAGTGTTAGAAATAACCCTCAAATAATTCGCAAGACAGTGAATCATCTAATAGCACGCTCTCAAAAATGTATTGATGTTGGAGGGCTCTACTTCGAAAATGTTTTGTAATACTGGGTAGTGAAAGTTTTTCACGAATTCGTTGCTTTTGTTATGTTCATTACAAACAGTTATTGTTCGTTGTGTAGTATTCTCATAAATTCAAATTCATTAGTGAGCGAATATAATTTACGAAAACTTCACTGTAATCCTTCTTCAACAGGTTCTCATACGATTTTTTCAGATTCCGAATCTACGATCAGATTATTAATAACTATTGATGTACTAGGTCAGCTAACATGACCAAACAAAACACTCATTTCAGTCCTGATACGAATTTATTCTTCAGTTTTTTCGGGTTATGAGAATATTTCATTTCACTCCGATTCATGAACTGATCGAAGAAAATAACGACATTCATGTCATGGTTTCGTAAATATACGTACTTTATCCGACAATGATAGATTTTTCAATGAAAAAAATTAAAATAATAATTAATTACGGAATAACTAATATGGTGCCAGGAGATTTTTAAACGAATTCCTATACAATTTCCACCGTAGATTCCGAATCTGAGTTCGAATTTTTGGTTATTATGATACAGGGTGAGTTATCCTAACAATAACTCAACATAGGGGAAAAATATTATTTCGGTCCTGATATTGGTTTCGATCAAAGGGGTACTTGTTGACGCTTTTCAGTGTGATTCGTGTACCAAATTTTAATCCAAATCGGCTAATCCCTGTATTTTATATGGCGGATTGAATTTTTTGTCAAAATCCACGAATCACTCTGTATCTCAGTAACGAAGCCGTTTTGGACATTCGTTTATGGCATTTTGCAATCATATTGACAGTCCCTATAACCCCATGAGTTTTGTCGGTTTTATCTCCGGACACCCTGTATAACAGCGACATTTATTTTTGACTCGGCCGTTACTTGATGGAAATAAAATAAATTTCCATAAAGAACTCAATATCATGAAACAGATTGCAGTCAACAACGGATACAACATCAATTTGATAGACAGTATTCTTTCTAAAAAAACTCCATAATAAAGCTATTCAAGAAGTTTATCCTACCATAAAGAATAATAATCAAAATTTTAGAACTTCAATCTATTTCGAATCATCAACTGAAAAATTAGCTTCATTTCTACACAAACAGGACTTGAAAGTAGCATATAAACAAGTGACACGTTGGGAAGGTTTATCAAAAATAATAAAGACAAAACTTCTGAATTCGAAAAATCAGGGGTATACAAAGTCAACTGTGGATCTTGTCCTAATAAAGGTATATATCGGTCAGACAGGTCGTACGTTTAATCAGCGCATTCATGAACATAAGATGCATTTTTTGAAAAAGAGAACAAATTCAACATACGCCAACCATATTAGGAGAAATCCGTAGTTTCGATGATGATGAACTCAATCATTTTGAATCATTGAATCAAGTTCTTAAAGTTGGTAACCTTAGCCAACTCAGGATATATGGTGAAAACATGCGTTAACTTGGTCTATTGGTCTAGATCCAGTCAGATCAATTGGGTAGGAATACAAACTATCAGCCATAATACTATCTCACAGGGTAGGCCGACTCTATCTCAACTGCGATTGAGCCATCATGACATGGTGATGAATTGAGGCAAAGACAGCAAACACTGGAGGCAGAATCTTTACTGTCTCAGACAGACAGTCTAACGACTTTGAATCGAGTTTTCAAAATATTACTACGGAATTTTCATCAGATGGAAGACAAATTGATATTCATCATACAGGGCGTGGAAAGAAATTCTGTTGAGAAAACCGAATCGCGAATCTGTGGTTAGAGGTCTGTGGAAATAACAAATTTCCATCGTTCAAGTTTGAACCCCTTGATTGGGTATCAAAGAATTGATTGGGCTGGTCTTTTTTTGGCGAGGACTTGGTATGATGACAGCACCTCCCATGGCGAAGCTAATGGAGGTGCAACTCTGGTACATATCACGCTGGGAATATTTCTTTTCAATAAAAACTACATGACTTGATGAAGGAGACAGTATGTTATTTTTATGCATCAGCCCTGGCTCGAATTGAATTGTGAAAGATACATGAAATGCAGCAGAATATCCATGATTGGAAGCTGTACAAGATTATTGTCCAAAGCGGAATTGTATCAATCAGGTTGTGGATAAATATAGCTCCTACCATTTCGTGTGTTCTATTATTCTGGGTATTAGTGGATCTATGCTTAGTTTACAATAGAGTCACTGGATTTTATTAATCTAACTAATACCATCCAGTGACTCTAGTTGACAATATTGGGTTTGTTCTCGGTCGAAAAAAAAACAGTCCGAAACCATCGGAAGCATGCACAGACCCACGGAACATGAAAATTATCATAGTTCTGGAAAACTGCGTGTGCTCCTGATGGTTTCGTAGTGTTTATTTTTCGAATGAGAACAAACCTACTGACATGTGACATTATTACAGAAATCGGAATAGGTTAGGTCTGTCATTCTGACCTGATAATTATTTTCGATTTATATTGTATAATAGTTACAGTACAACTAAAACCAAGGATATATTATTATTATTATTATTATTATTATTATATTCCGTTAATCAGCCAAGGTTTCCGATGCTTTTAGGCCTTCAGGGCCGGTACCAACAATTTTGATAGTGGTTATCTGCTGGTGACTTCGGCTGTGGTTTATTTACGGAGTGCCAGTCATCTATCAACATCCATGCTCTGCCAGTATTTGATTTTCAATTATGGTACCCAAAAGTCCGTAATTCTTGAGCACAGCATGCAAGCAAAGAATGTATAGTGTCCTAAAATAGAAAAAAAAAAAACGGTATCAAACTGAAAATGTATCAAATATTATTGATCTACACCAATAAACGAATCCATCGGAACTTATAAAGCAATAATCAAAATTAGAACATTGTTCTTCGTACGTTGTAATTTGTAAATCTAAAAATCAAACCGAATACTAAAACACGTGAATGTCAACTTAAATTTACCGAACTCACCAGAGAAAATCCATAGTAGTTCTGGTGACAGTGAATCCATCGCTTTTTCAGCAACCGGGTTCCGTAAATAACCATTTTCAGGAACCAACCGAACATTTCATATTTACGGAACGGAGAAATACTAACCGAACTAACCAAGTTGATTTACGGAACATACCCTATATAAGCTCATTTATACATTTTGAATATTGATTTTTTCCACAGATAACAGTTGGAGCTCCAGATGATTGGGCTGGTCGTTTTTGGGCGAGAACTTGGTGTGATGACAGCACCTCCCATTGTTTAACAGGAGACTGTGGCAACAAACTTGAATGTGGTGGTAATGGAGGAGCACCTCCAGCAACTCTGGTGGAGATCACGCTGAAAGGAAACGGTGGGCTTGATTTCTACGATGTTTCTTTGGTGGATGGTTTCAACGTACCTGCGAGTGTAAGTACTATCCTCTAGTTTCATCCTCAAAGTTCCGGTGCTGATCAGAGTGAAGTTATAATGGCACCCTTAAATGCCTGATGAATTGATTCAGTATGACATCCGTGATAGTGACGACCTCTTGATTAGCATACGCTTTCGCTCACTCGGTGAAATATTCTATCAGATATGTTCTCTGCTAGCTAATTTTCTCTCAAACAGGTATCTCTATGTAGTCGTCGACGGAGTTTCATCTGACTCTCTTATCATAAATGCTGGTGTTCCGCAAGGATCAATTCTAGCACCACCACTATTTCTACTCCATATCAACGATTTGCTGGAAGCAACTTCATGTCCAGTACACAGCTTTGCGGATGATAGTACCCTCCATACCGCCTTCTTTTTTAGGGCTCCAATACCAGCCAGGCAAATCAGAAACGAACGAGGGAGAAATGTTGACAACATAAATATGTACTTGGCAACAATTCTCGAATAGGGATCCAATAACTTGGTAGATTCCAATGCAAACAAAACACAAGCATGCCTTTTCTCTTGAAAAGCCGATCTCACTGTGCCCAACATAAGATTGTCAGGAGTAACCATCCCTCTGAAGACATCCATTTCGATGCTTGGTATTACTATCAGCAATAACCTTTTTTCGGAAAATCACGTGAGATCAATTGCTAAAAGTGCATCCCAAGAACTTGGTTTTCTGTTTCGAGCCAGGAGCTATTTCACTTCCAGTCAGCTGTTCATGATCTATAAGGCACAAATCCGACCTGTCCTGGAATACTGTTCCCATATTTGGAGTGCAGCGCCCAAACATACCCTGAAACTGTTGGATTCTGTCTAAAAAAGAGCAATTAGTCTCGTGGGTGATGCCTCACTCACAAACTCACTCACTTCTCTGGAACACCGTAGAAAAGTTGGAGATCTGGCTCTATTTTATAGATATTTTCATGGACGATCCCCCTCTGAAATATCAACAATTGTTTTTCCATTGGCAGTCCCCGCGAGATCAACACGTCGAGTTGAGGCTTCGCACCCCTTCGCGGTCACTTTGGAGACCTCTCTTTCCAAAGACTCGTTCATCTAACGAACAGCGAGGTTCTGGAACTCGAAAGAGCAAAAACTGAGAGTACTCGCCAGTAGCAATTTCTTTTTATGTTCCGGTTCCCACGAAAAGGGATATACTGTAATGTTCAGAGAACATCATGAGAACCAAGGGAAATGAGGATGAATTGGTGTTTCTCTTAAATCTCTGGCGGTTATATGCCTCGGGGAACACCTCCCTGGGCAATGTGTCCCAGAGCCTCGCTGTTCGTTGGATGAACGAGTCTTTGGAAAGAGATGTTCTGCCGGTCTCCAAAGTGACCACGAAGGGGTGCGAAGCCTCAACTCGACGGGTTAATCTCGCGGGGACTGCCAAGGGAGGAACAAGCGTAAATATTTCCGAAGAGCATCGTCTATGAAGATATCTATAAAATAGAGCCAGATCGCCAACTTTTCTACGGTGTTCCAGAGAAGTGAGTGAGTTTTTGAGCGAGGCATCACCGACGAGACGAATTGCCCTTTTTTTGACAGAATCCAACAGTTTCAGGGTATGTTTGGGTGCTGCGCTCCAAATATAGAAACAGTATTCCAGAACAGGTCGGATCTGTGTCTTATAGATCATTAGGCAGCTGACTGGAAGTGAAATAGCTCCTGATTCGAATCTACGAATGATCTCGCCCCAAAGTGATCGAATATCCTGGATAACTAGATGCGATCACTTCTTCTCCTTCAGGACATCACTATGTCAGCACGTAGAATTTTCTCTAAACGTCGTACCTACTTGAAAGTCATCACTCTAGATTGATATCTCGTATCTTCTTTGTACGAACCAAATCATTCTATTCAGGTAATGGTACCTAATATAACTTCTGAATTATTTTCAGATTGAACCAGCAGGTGGTAGCGGTGATGGCAGTCAGTACAGCTGCAAAAAATCTGCCTGTCAACCACACCTCAACGACATATGTCCAGAAGAACTGAAGTTGGTCTCACCACATGGCGTCGTAGGTTGTGAATCAGCTTGCACCCACTTCAACACCGACCAATACTGTTGCAGGAATGCTCACGATAAGCCTGAAACTTGCAGAAGTAGTGATTGGCCAAAAGATTATCCGAAGTTCTTCAAAGATCATTGCCCTGATGCTTACAGCTATGCATATGATGATCATAAAAGTACTTTCACTTGCAAATCTTCGAAGTATATTGTAACTTTTGGATAATTTTCGATTATATTCAATATCCTGAATTCTAAGTTGCAATAAAGTATACTCAGCACATTCTCTCAACTTTTATTGATACTTCCTAGCTCGATTTGTGTTATTCTCATATATATTTTGTATAATTTTCCTCGAGCGATCTCGAGATGTTTGCAGTTTTTGATGTGAAGATTTTGAGAGTGTGATTTTTGGTGAAAAGGTTCATTCAATTCCCCAGCTTTTAGCAGTCTTTAATAAGTATTTATCTGTTATTCTATTCGTGTTATACTGGAAAGCTCTCAATTAGTTGAAACGATTTTCGAAAAGTATTGGTGTTGGTGAAAGAGTTTATTCAAATGAAAGGAACCAAAGAAAAATAATTGGAGACTACAAAGTATATAAATTACAATCTCATCGTTGGGCTCAGCAAATGTGACAATCTCTATGATTGATTTACCTACTCCTAAGTAGTGACTGTGTGGCTTACCAAATCGGGATATAAACTGGGTTTCCATAAAAAAAATATTTTCACTGAGGTATTTTATGCGTCATCCTCTATAATTTTTGACATACCTAGTTGAAAAATGGCAAGGTCTATTAACTTCTATAAGGTTACCTCATAGTATAGCATTATGGTGCGGGGGTGCGCGGAGGGGCGTGACGTCAGTGTTTCCCCACCACGTGATTGTAGATTTCGTTTGTGTCACTGTCAAATGAATTGAAAAAATTTTTGAATTTGAATTCGAAAGAATCGCGAATTTTAGACTTTAGTTGAAAACAGGGTGACAAGAAGACTGAAGATATCTTTGAAAGAGTGTGAGAGGTGGTATAATAATATGGTGTAGTATTATTCAAGGCTGGTCACATCATAAATATCATAATATTATTGTGTGGAGTCAACAGTGGATATCGAACAAACAAATGTTATGAAATGCCTGTTTGGCAGCCTCCACATGAGATTCAGATAATTCCAAAAGAAAATGATGAGCTGTGGCAATGTGAATGTCACTGTGAAGCAGGCATGTCACGGTTTGTATACACATTTTATAGGGACTTATATTGACAGGTAGGAAGGTGCACTTTTGATCTATCACACACACAGGTAAAAATACATGAAATTTCAGGAATGAAGACTTGGAATATGTGAAGCTGCATATATAACAAACAGAAGTGGTGAAAATTGAAAAAAGAGAGTAGATCAATCAATGATCTATTATACAGCCAAACCATTTCAATAGTTCTGCTACCTGCTTATTAAAAGAAGGAAAGTGACCCCCTAAAATCATTCTTCCTTTATATAATTGGAGGTAATTTTACAGGGTATATCAGTCTATTTTGTTTTTTTTTTTGGAAGCCAATGAACTCAATGTAAACAACTAGCTATTGCATGGTACTCAGGAACACTGGTGAGTTTATTGAATTTTACTTATACTTGCTACTTCATTTTTACATGTAGCAAGGAGTCTTGTGAAATAAGGCATTCAACTTCTTCTTTCCAAGGGATTTTTCAAATAAATTTGTTCAGCATGGAGTTGAATATGAATCCAAAGCTCTTTCAAAATGTTCATTGAAAATGATATTGAATTTCAAATCATGCAAACAAATTTGTGTCCCAATATTTTCCATGGTTAGCATTTTCTCAATATGAAATTATTTTTCAGGAAGGAAGACCATGGAAATAATTGAAATAAGTGTCCTTACTGAGGTCCTTACATAGAGGTTTGTTAAATAATGTGTATTACATTCAGCTTGAATTATTTTCTCAAAATTTTAGGTAAAGGTTCAGAACATTTTGTGGAACAATGCCATTTCTTGATAGGAGATGGTATAAAAAATGTGAAGTTGGAAGAGAGACACACTTATTATGGATAAATTCAGTTGGGAATAATGGCCCTAAAATGTCCCTAATGAACTTGAAAGAAACTAATTTTCTTGTATGATTCTTCTTCCTCCAAAACTTACATAAAGATTCCAGTTTTTTTGTGATACATTTTGTGTTAATGTTATGAGGAAGATATCTCAAAGATATTTCCATTATGTTGCACTTTTATTGCATTAATAAAATGCTGTACAACAGGAGCACTGAGGAACATATCTTTCTAGATTTCTGTCTTCAGTCTTTTGTACTTGCTGCATGTTTTGGGAAAACAGTGAACAATCTCTTGGACACAAAAACATATTGGAAAACTTCAAAATTTATCAATATTCACTTGATTGCACAATGCTAAATTTGTTTGTTTTGTTTTTCACCTCCGCCATTTTCATTTTGCCGTTCGACAAAAGACGATGGGGAAACAGTGACGTCAGGCCAGGTCAATATGAGGCAACCTTATAGAGTTGAATAGCCTTGGAAAAATGGGACATAAAAAACCAAATTGACATGTTTCATAGCTTTTTTGAAAACCTTCAACGGCCCTGCTAAACTCCTCTATTAGGGGGATAAAAATACTTAAGCGGCCAATTAAGGGCAGCAAAAATTATGTTTGATGAGAATTATCTCTTGAGAAGCCGAACTCAGTATGATATAACGATATCTGGTATCACCATCTCCACGCATTTATTTCAGTAATAATTCAATATTTTATCATTACATGATGGCAGATGATCTTCCAAAGCTGTCGTAAATTAATAATCATCAAGCTGAAATGATTTCTCATTTATGTGTGGTTATTTTCGATGGCAATGGTGCCAATCATCTACACACCAGAACAGTATCGACTTTTACAATAGATATTCCATCAAACATTCTTGCAAATGGGATCGAGGTACCGAAGTATATAGTTGATTGTTGATTGCGTTCTGCTGCCATCCACTAAACCTCCATACTCACCCGGTTCATTACCATCGTCTTTTCAGTATTTTACAATGGCCATCCAGTTGCATGAAGGAATGTTCATAGTCACTGTGCTTTATGCAAAAGCGTCTCGCTAACTTTCCTCTCGGAATACATCTGCTCCTATAACGTTCATAAGTAAATCGCTCTAGTTACCGTAAGCATCTTATTGACTCTTGATGAGCATTTCACAGATGGTGGCAGATGAGATACGTCAGTCGGTTGAATGGGAGAATGAGTTGATTCTCGACGAGAACTTGATAGGGAAATTTAATCTCTCTGAATTTTGTCACATTTTACTGAACCCAATATTATCGACTTTCTTATAAAGGGTGAGTCATGAGGAACTGTACATGCTCCTACTACGAATAGAGGCATCTGAGGGGAATACCAAATGACCATCAGAAAGTGTCTCCGCCTCTTCTAAAATAATCTATAGGGTGATTAATGAGATATGGCAAAAACTTCTTTCAATCATAACTTTCCAACAGTTCTTTCGATTTCTTTCATTTTTTCATGGATTATCATGCTGTCACTCAGCAATCAACTGACGTATTCAGAATCGTGAAAATCCAGGACCGGTCTTGAGAAATTCTGCCAATTTGGTCCATATAAAAAATTTCACCCTGTATGAGGTTTTAGTAAACTGTGATATGGAATTTCTGAAGTTGATGAACAGGCAACTAAAATGAAGTATTTCAAATGTTCCTCACAATTTCATTGAATTTCTTAAAAAATGATTAATTTAAACTACACACGAAACTTGGGCAATAAATGTATTAATTTGAAAATTAATACTTCGCAACGCATGAATTTCACGAATGAAAGTAGGGATAATATCATTCTCAATTCTTCAGCTCAACAATAATCAACATCCTTTTATTTCCAGGGTTGGATTCAGTAATTTTTTAGTAGAGAGTAATAATCACCAAAAATTACACCCTGTATATGGTTTTAGTAACCTGTGATATGGAATTGTCAAAGTTGATGAACTGGCAACCAAAATTAAGTATTTCAAATTTTCCTCAGAGTTTCACAGAATTTCTTAGAGTACGATCAATTTTCACTACCTACACGTGAAACTTTCGCAACAAATGTATTAATTTGAAAATGAATACTTCGCACCGCTAGAATTTCACGAATAGAAGCAAGAATAACATCATTTCCTATTCTTCAGTTCACTGAAAATCAACATTCATCTATATCCAGGGTTGGATTCAGTAAATTTTTGGTACATGGTAATAATCACCAAAAATTGCACCCTGTATATGATTTTAATAAACTGTGACATGAAATGTTCGGAGTTACAAACAAGAATCAGGAATAATTTTACCCTTACTTTTATTCGTGAAATTCATGCATTGCGAAGTATTAATTTTGAAATTAATACATTTGTTGCCCAAGTTTCGTGTGTAGTTTAAATTAATCATTTTCTAAGAAATTCAATGAAATTGTGAAGAAAATTTGAAATACTTCATTTTGGTTGCCTGTTCATCAACTTTAGAAATTCCATATCACAGTTTACTAAAACCTCATACAGAGTGAAATTTTTTATATGAACCAAATTGGCAGAATTTCTCAAGACCGGTCCTGGATTTTCACGATTCTGAATACGTCAGTTGATTGCTGAGTGACAGCATAATAATCCAAGAAAAAATGAAAGGAATCGAAAGAACTGTTGGAAAGTTATGATTGACAGAAGTTTTGGCCATATCCCATAAATCACCCTATAGATCATTTTAGAAGAGGCGGAGACACTTTCTGATGGTCATTTGGTATTCCCCTCAGCTGCCTCTATTCGTAGTAGGAGCATGTACAGTTCCTCATGACTCACCCTGTATATATTGAACGAAACACCCTATATATAATGAAATATTCAGATTACTCTCTCAAATCTTTGAAAATTGATAGCAGCTATAGCAGCATTAGCATTAGTACTGTCGGCTGTATTGAAGTTTGTTTGAGTTGATGCATTGAAGTAAAAGTGATTATATTGGAAAATACTGTTTTTTTGGACGAGTAGACAAAATTATAAGCTGAGTCCTAGGCGAGTCCTGGAAGTCTGCGAGTCCAAATAATTGTTTTTGGACGTGTTGCGTACACAATTTTTTTGGCAACCATATGTAGAATAACAATTCAATGAGACACATTTCCGTATTATATTTCTTTGTGGAATACAATTTCTTCTTTTTCAATTATTATTTGTATCAAATATTGAAATTTGAACATAATACAGATACCTACTACATTGGA